TTAAAATATTATATATATTTACTTAATAATATAAAAAAATTAAAAAAAATTTATAAGCCCATATTATTCTTTTAAGTATAAATAAAATATCAATCCTAACATGTTAGGTAGAAATATATAGGCAAAAGCCTATTTTTAACCCTTCAACTTGTTAAATTTGAAGGTTTTAGCCTTTCACCTTATATTATATGACATTTTTGGCCCCTCACCTTACTAGAATTGTAGGTTTTAGCCCCTCACCTTATATTATGACACTTTTAGTCCCTCACCTATTAAAATTGAAGAAAATAGCCTTCACTTTGTAATATTTTGTTAGTTCTGTTAGCTGACTGTTAATTCTATTAACTGACTATTAGTTGACTGTTAATTGTCAAAAACCTTCTTTCAGCTAACAGAACTAATTTTATAATATTTCGTTAATTTTGTTAATTGACTATTAGTTAACTGTTAGTTGATAAAAATCTACTTTCAACTAACAAAATTAACAATCAGTATAAAGTGTGGGCTATTTTCTTTGATTTTAATAGGTGAGGGGCTAAAACTTATAAATCTAGTAAGGTACGAGGTTACAAGTATTATAGTATAAGATAATGGGCTAAAACCTTCAAACTTAATAAGGTGAGAGGCTAAAAATAGGTTTTTGCCAAATATATACATCAGATGTACTATGTGGACAAATGCGAAAAAGGATAAAATCCTTGTAGGTGGATGGTCACGAGGTTCGACATAGATTGATAGACATATCGCCAACTACACTGTCAGTTGTCAAAATAATGGGTCAGTTGTCAAAATAATGGTTTAGTTATAAATGTTAGTCATATGGGGACAATATTTTTATAAAGTCATTGACTTTACCAAATGTTCTATTAGTTTCAAAACTTAGTTATAATCTTCAATCATTATGACTTTCGATCATTTTCAAGCGGTCATTTTCTTTCTGTTACTCCTTTTGATCTTGTGCATTCTGACAGTTGAGGTCTATTTCTTACGTCCATCATGGGGGTTCTGAGTATTTTATGTTATTTATTAATGATGATACTTGTATTACCTAGATATATTTTATGAAAAATGGCTCTAATGAAATTGAGCACAATTTTGCAAAGAAATAGCCTGCTTCCTTCTCGAGAAGGGATGGGAAACATGCTCAATATCATTTGATTGAGTAGTTGACCCAGCTCCTTGTTGTTTGAAGAAACCCTCCACTTCAGTTGGTATTTTTTCAGGAAAAGCAAGCATGAGATAACAAATCTAGTCTTTCACTAAGATTTCAAATAATTGTCTCAAATTCAAGTTGATTTTGTTTTGCTTACTTTATTTCTGTCAGAGAGTAATATGAATATTATATCATGTTCTATCAACACACTAAATGGATTATACCATATCTCTGGTGTGGAAGTCGGCCAACATTTACATCGGCAAATCGGAGCTTTCCAAGTCCATGCCCAAGTCCGTATTACTTCTTAGGTTGTAATTGCTATCTTATGACGTTTCGCCATTATTGCAGTTCTTGAATTTCTTCAAATATGTTCTTGAATTCATTCGAGACATGAGGCAAAACTCATATTGGAGAAGAATATAGTCCGTGCATGAAAATAGATTTTTTTTAGTCTTTTTATCAATTAATCTATTAAGTATGTCTATATATACACATTTTTTGTCCCTAAACTTTTAAATTGAAGGACAAAAGTTGTGAAAAATCCTAAAATTGAGGGATTAAAAATATGTATATATAATTAAATTTAACAAATTAACTGATGAAATGACTAAAAACATACATGTTTCATAGTTAAGGAAATAAAAAAATTAAGAAACCAAAATTGTGCAAAATCTTAAAGTTAGGAGACTAAGTTTGCATTTAACCTAACGAAATTTATTTTTCGGTTATGAGACCATTTTTCCGGAGAATGCAAAAGAGTAGTTTGCTGTTTCCTTAGCGCACATGGTTATGTAGAAAATGATTAGGAGTTTGGTAGTTTTTTCTTTTTTAATTTAATGATAGATTATATAAAAAAAGATAGTTTTTTTTAAAATAAATTATCGTTTACATATTATTTTAAATTACATAAAAAAATTAAACAAATTATATTTTAAAAAGAAAGGGAGTAACCAAAGAAGTATCTGAACTATCATGAAATTGCATGCTAAAACTTAGGAAAAAAAATTTTTTATTAGTGGCGGAAAGTCTCACTCACAATTCTTTATTAAAATAGGGTAACATACATTTTTGCTAATAAACAAAATCCACCTGCATCATTCACTAAACACACTTCTTCCTTTTTATTTGAACTATAAGATGTTTATAAGCCAATTTTTATATATTTTAAGGCTAATTCCTCCCATTAATCTTTAAAGTCACTCTATATTAACTTGTTACATTTATGATAATTAATTTTTTAAAATGTTGATTTCAAAATTTAAATTATAAATCTAATTTATAAAATAACAGGTACTTATTATTATTGAATTTAACTTGGCTGGATTCCAAACAGATTATTGTTATTAGTATTTACATGATTGAGCAGTCTTGTTGAGTTTCTCCACAACCGCTTCCAGAACCGCACCAGCTGTCGCAAACGGGTCTCCCATAACACGGAATGCATT